CTATTCAATGGCGGGCCCTCTTTCAGTTTAAATGTATTTTGTACTCTTTCTTATCATAAATAAAACAAAACAAAATTTTATTCAAACATATTTATTTGAAATATGAGACAACGTGACTAAATATATATAAAAAATAAAGAATTGAATGATTTCCAACAGCAATTACTTAATTATATGCAATTTTAACGTAAATTAGTAAGGTATAAGCATGACTTACAGTAATTTGTAAATAAATACATGTATTCACAGCCATCAGGGACAGAAAACGGGGCAGGAACATGAAAACGGGAGCCTTATACAAAAAACCTGAAAACAGAAAAACAAATTTTTTATACTAAAATTAACAAATAAAAATATCAGTAGGTATAAAATATAAATATACTGTTTAAAAAAAGCGTCCATTATTCCCAAAGAGACCTGGTTTATAAATCAAAAAGAAGCAAAAAAGAGAATTTTAGTCGGATAACAATCGGATTATATCAGTCAGATTTATTGCATTATTGACAATAAATCGCACATACTGAGATAACTAATGTTGGGTATAGTTAAAAATGATCTTACCTTGCTGTAAATTGTTTCCATTTTCAAAAAATCGCCGATCATAAACATAACAAAATTTTCTTGCATCTAAAAAATACAGAAATAGTGTTTATTTACTACCTATTTTTAATATACATGGGACATACCTAGTACTGCAGAAACGTCTTTTTCTCCAGGATTTTTCATGTAATATATATTTTATATGCTTTATTACCTTTATTTTTATAAGTTTCTGCCGAAATATCAAATTGAATTTACAAAACAAAACTAAACGGAGAGAATTAAAATGGCGTCAAAATTTGTTCTAGAACAAATCTGAAGTTGTCTCTGAAATCTGTCAATTCTAAACTGTGAAGTTAGACAATAGTTAGAGAGAAACATTGCTGTCCTTGTCTAGGCGGCCATACTTGTCGTCAGGAGATGACAGGAATGACACTAATGACTGTTTCCAATTTTCCTATTTCACTGTCACCCCCCTGGTTACCAGCGCTCCACAGTGCGACGGATGGTTATTCTAGCGGGACAAAATCTCAGGAGTGATGTTTGAGACTTAAAATCTAAGAACGTAGCAAATGGTCTAATATATAGCAACCATATGGTTAAATTTATAACTAAACTATACTTTAAATAAATAAATACAAGATATAAAACTATGATATTATTCGTACATGACACACAAAAACCGTACTATAAACTAATGCCAAATACATAAAATTATGATATCAGGTGAAATACTTACGAAAAACTCTTTAGCAGTTATTTTTTAATTACTTTGTAATCTTGTGACATCCTGTATATTTTATTTTAAAAATAATAAATAAGATGTTTTAATTTTATCATTCGGTAATTGTAAATTCATATATAGTAAGTATCTAAGACAATTTTTTAAACTTTTATTAAAACTAGAAATAATCATTTAGTTTTATTATAAATTATCAGAAAGTAAAACAGGCTTTGGCATATCGTCATGCTTTATTTAACTAGAACATCATTTGGATGTTTTTGTCTTGAGGAAAATTGCCGAACTGACTATTGATGTCATTCATTAGCTGCCCACACACGGAAAGGCCCGGTCTACGGACTTGGCATTGGGTACGAGCCTTTAACCCAAAATACCATAGGTTTGCCTTAATTTCCGCTATGGTAAATTGGGTGAAAGCCCCGGCCTCAAGGCCAAGTCCGAAGGCCGGGCCTTTCCGTGTATGGGCAACTATTAATTTTTTAAACTCAATGCCTTTCGATGGAGTTAAGGCTTCAACAATTACAGCAGCATCCTTACTCTTTACTACCACTAGCCCTAAAGCTCATAGTACTTGCAAAACCCAATTCTTCTTTTGAATGCTCTTCAATTAACCCTTTAAAGAGTCTTTATTTCGTTTTTATACTATCCGATTGAAATGAAACTTTTGGGTATTCACCTGTTAAGCTTGAACTCCTTGTAACTGACTACCTGTGTTGGTAACTATTAGTAACTCAAAAAAAAAGTTACTAAGACCTACATCATTCAATATATCAATATTTGAAAAAAGTGAAAGTTTGCTATTTGCAGAATAAAGGCACGAAGGATTTTAACAAATAATATACCTACAGTAGAAAAGTACATACCTTTGACAATCTTCAACATAATTTGGCTTTGGAATAAAATGTATAAGCACTTTTAAATATTTTGTTTTCCTATGACTTCTGCCTTGCTGAGCAGAAAAAGATCAAATTTGGTTGATAAAAATGTATCGAAATACAAAGAATATATACGACCAAAAAATAATTCATTTTTATATCAATTGGAATGTCTACTATTTATTCTTATCAGTAAATATTTTTGCCTTATTTCTAATCAAACGGTTTTGTCCCGCTAGATTTATCTTTTCCGCCGCACTGTGCGCTCGTCCGTCAAATGCAAAAATAACTGTCACTGTCTAAAATCTTTAGCGCGAACTTCAACTCGGTCCCTGGAAAACGTAAAAAAAACTGACAGTACAGGAAGATAGAATCGAACTATCATTATCTCTATAGTACCTTTGACATACCCCAGCATCCTTCAGACAGAAACCTACGCTATCGAAAGGTGCGTACAACTTATTTTAGATAGGAACTATCGGAAACAAGAAATAGCTATCTTATCTGATAGTCAAGTAGCATTAAAAGCAATCCACTCAGTAACCATCAATTCGAAGTTGGTCAAAGGATACCTAGAGAAGCTGAACATATTAAGCAAAATAAATCCTCCATCTTCTAGATGCCAGCCCGCCAAGGGATAGAAGGTAATGAAAAAGCTAAAAATCTGAACTATCTAGCTAGAAAAGGAGCGATTACTTCACTAACTGGACCACATTTAGTATAACTCCTGAGTATATATTAGTTTTTTTCAAGTAGTCATATAGGATAGTTATAACACACAACAGAAATACACCTAAATCCATCATTAGAATAATTCCTTTATGATACTTCCTTTATCTATAGTAGTATTCTCTATGTCATAATTAAATTATTTTGGGATTTCCAAGAAAGCAACTTACTATTATATAGCTAAACATAAAATAGTGCCCGTTGCGTTCCTCATTCTCTTCTAAAATTAGAGAGAAAATAATTTTCAAACTAAAACCAAAACGGCGACGTGTTCACTCACTTTTTGCTGAGATTTACGACTGCATTGCGGTTTTTAATGACATTTCCCTACGGCAGTTTTGAAGCAAAGAAAATTTTAGGGATTTTGTTAATTTAACAAAATATTAATAGTATAGATATTAGTATATTTTTCACTTTACTATAATAATACTTTAACTCTGCAAGAATAAAATATATTAAGCTACCAATTTTTAATTAATATGTATTTTCTATATTGAATAATATTATAAAGAAAAGTCAATTTAAGCACTCTAAGTCAATTCTAGACTCATGTAAGATTGTGTACGTGCTCTAAATACAGTAAATAGTACGAGGTTCAATAAAAGGGCTGATAAAATGGCCAAACAAGACCCGTCAATATCATTCATATGCTCACATTCATAGTGGGCCGATTTTTATGATTTTTAAGCAACTTGTAGCTAAATTATTTTACTTTTTAGTTTTTCTTTCTAAATTAAAAATGCAAGTTTCCGTCTGTCAATTATACGAGGGAAAACAAAATTTTGATATTTTGGTGTAAGTTTGAAACGCTCTGTGGAATATGTTAACAAAGCAAGTAATTGAAAAATAATTTTAGCACTAACTACGTCTTTTCTCGATAGTTTGTTTTTTGATTCATCTCAATAACCTTATTTTTATTACCTCCAATTCGCTTTTGAATAAGACACTAACGATTTAAAGCAATTTTAGCATTGATTTTTGGTCCTCATCAACACACTTATAAAATAGTGTTTATTGTTTTTATAATGTCACTGACATTGAAATGTCATATTATTATTGTTTTTTGCCGTTTACTCTAGTAGAGATGGTTTTAAGTTCTGAAGTATCGGCTATTGCTGCTCTAATTGATCATGGTAGATTTAGTACTAGATACTTTTGAACTTAAAACCACATCTGCTAGTGTAATTGCCCAACAAACAATAATAATATGAGTTTTCAAAGACAGTGACATTACATAAATCATAAACTCTATTTAATAGGTCTGTTGACTAGGACCAAAACCAAAGGCGCGGTTTTAATGTAAAAAATTCGAAAAAATGTGTGTGTCTTCTTCAAAAGCGAATATCTTCAAAAAAAATTAGGCTATTAAGATGAATCAAAAAATAAACTATCGAGAAAAGATACAACTAGATGATAAAATAATTATTCTTAAATTCTTTGCTTTGTTAACGTACTCCACAAGGTGTTTCGAACTTTCACCAAAATATCAACATTTTGTTTTCCCTCGTATAATTGACAGATGGCAACTTCATTTTTAATTTCGAAAGAGATACTCAAAGTTAAATAATTTAGCTACAAATTGCTTAAAAATTATAAAAATCGGTCCACTAGAACACAATATATAACACTTTAAAATACATGAAAATTTTAAGGTGCCCGTTTTTCGTGTCGGTGGATGTAGTAAAGCCGGCTGGTTTGACAAGAAAATGACATTAAGACTGCCAAAGCTATAGTGAGTCTCCTAACAGGAAATTGCAAAATCTTACACGTCGAAGAGAGAAGAGAAGAATCGTAAACTGCTAAGATTGGCGAACGAAACCAAGATTTTGTCAATCTGAACCTGGCTCTTTATATTAGGCAATGGTAAACTACTGACAAAGAACTATATGGAGGGTTTAGCCTCCATGTTGCCAGACTTTTTGAAAAAAGATGGGACTGGAGAATATAAACCTAGAGATCAAAAGACGACCACAGTAAAGGCCGGAGTGGAAGGTATATCGGTATTCGGTATCTGAAAAGGCCGGAGTGGAAGAAGCCGGTAGCCACCTCCAAAATCTAATCTAAGCTACAATATGTTTCAAAAAAAAAATAAAAAAACTATTGGAAATACTTACCCGACTGATTTCGCTTATGAAAGTCAAGCCAGTGTTTTTAGCAGATTGATAGAATGGTATCAAAGATTCGAATTTCTCTTCAATCACTTTCATATTTTCTTCATCCACATGATCCTTGTCCTTAATTGAAGCTTCCAATTTATCCATTTCCCTTAAAAAATCATTATTTTTAACAAACTTTAGTCTACAGTAAATATATCTAAAATTAACCATGACTTTAAGGTTCATTCAGAACCTCGAAATTAGTGGAATAAATTAGTGGTTTCAAAAATAGCGTAGAAGTTTGTTCCTCTGACTTTAATGTAAGCATTCAGAAAGTCAAAATTAGTGATAGTAATTTTCAATTAATTTTTGCCACTAAATATTATACTTCAAAATTAGCGAGTAATTTCATGTTGGCCTTTGATTATCATCCGTCAAGAGAAATTGTGGTTAGAAACAAAAGGTTTTTTGTTTTATAAGCTTATTATTATAGGCTTCCTCTATAAATACAACAGACTACCGCATCCTGTTGCTAGGATATTCTATTAATTTTAATTTTATTTTTTTAGACAATAGCCCCCCATACACTTGAAGATTTGGCCTGTGGAGTTCGCCTGCGGATGAAATCCTTGCATTTGTGGACAGGACCAAGCCTGTGGCAGGCTAAGCCTTTGGCAGACCAAGTCTGTCAGAGACCAAGTTTGCTAACCAAAATACGACAGTTTTGGTAAGTGACAGATAAAGTCCGCAGGCCGGGTTTGAAGGCCGGATCCGCAGGCCAGGTTTTCCGGTGTAAGGGCGTCTATTCTGAAAGATCGTAATCTAAAAATTATAAAGTATGATTGAAACCACTAATTTATTCTACTAATTTCGAGGTTCTGAATGAAGCTTTACAACAAAAATATAAACAAAATTGAAAAGATTCTTACTTGTTGACTATGTCAGCTTCCATATGGAACTTGACATATATTCTGGCAAGCTCCAGTCTAGTTTCTAGAATGTTTTTGAGATTCATCCATTTTTCGTGGAGGTTTTCTACCTTAGAATCCACGTCTCTTCTTTGATCGTCTTCTAAATATTCGAGTATTGAAGGAAGTGTTAGTAGAAGTTGGTTAATTTCATTTCCTTTGATCTAAAATAAGAATATTCATAGAATTAATCATTAACCACAATTTTAATTACCATTAAATATTACAAGTCTGGTAAATCAAATTTTACAGTATGAGTAAGATATTTAGAATTTCGAAACAAATACTGTAGAAGTTAATTGAGGACGAATGACGTACAATATTTAATGTCATACTGTTTTACTAAACCCCAAAAATTAAACTATTAACAGACATACCTGGAGATCAGATTGTAATTGGTGATGTAACTGCAAGAAATCTTCTGCTAATCTCAAATCACCTCCCATATCTTGGTGTCCTTTAAGGAATCCTTCAGCTATGGTCACCAACCAATTATTAATTTCGTTATAACCATCAAGAAAGTTATTCAGAGCCGCTGTAACTCTCTTATTTTCTTCTTTGTGCGCCGTACACAAACCACTCAGTATTATTTTCTTGTTTTCTAGTTCCTCCACCATTTTCTTGACTCCTAGTACCCCAAAAGATAGTAATTTAGAAGCAGTAATTTTATTTTTTGCATAATTAATACCTTCAGTTCCACCAGAAAGGCCTGCTAGATTTATTATGGAATAACCTTCTTCTATTGGAGCTGAGGTAGCTTCTTCTATCGTTCTTGCGCAATGTGCGTGCAGTTCGGCAAGTTTCGGTGATGTTTTTGGCAGTTCTGTGGTTTTGAGTTGGATTTCTAGTTGATCCAGTTTGGTCAAAACCTGTAAAAAATGACCAGTGAGAAATATATTTGTAATTATGTTTTTATTTGGCCTAATTGTATGACTCCAATATCAATTTTGGCGATTAGAATAAAAATGATCCACGTGACTTTTTTTAAATGGACTTAAGTACAAATTTAGATATTTTAGATACCAATTTACTTGGTATAAAGGTGGAATTACACGATATAAGTGTATTTGCAAAATGCTGCTTGTACTGACTGTTTTTTCAAGTCGAGTCGGTAGGCTTTTTAACATCAAAGTAAGCTGCCAACTTACTTGCATGCTACTAAGCCTTTCAACTCGATTTTGCTAAATCAGTTGATACATTAGGTAATCATCTTATATTCCATAAAACATTTGATATAATAAAGTAATTGAACCATAAAAATAGTTGCTTCATTCAAGTAATTTTCATATTAGGAAAGTCTGTGAATGTGATGGCTTAATTGTATTTTATTTAACATAAATTCACACTGAATTTATCCAAATTTTATATAAAATCATTATAATTTCTAATTACCGCTTGTGATGATCTGAAGAAAGCTATCGCTCTTTCTAGCAATGACTCTCTGTTCTGTAAGTCAGCAAGATATTCTGACGTGGAAGACAGAATAACATACGATTGCTGAGTGGCTTTGTCACCTCCATAACAGCCGGAAGTTAGCAACTGTTCTGTGGCTTTAGTTAATCTTAAAGCTTTTTCTTGAAGCTGTCTGGCTTCGGGAAGAAGTTTCTTATGTTCGTGAAGTAACAGTTCTGCACAGGATGAGGAATCGCCTAAAGATAAAAAAGTCTATTATAATCTTTCTATGGCTTTATTCAGAATTTTATCTTAAAATCATTATTAAATAACCTATGACCAAAAAAAGAAGTTTTATCGAAATTAAAACTGCAAACTGAAGTTTATCGGAATTAAAAATGCCGCTTAGAAAGAAAAAGCTTTACAAGTCCGCGACTTTATCCTTAGATCATTTCTTAAATCTAATCTGACAGATGAAGTCTACGGATTTGGCCTGTGACAGGCTTGGTCCGCCGAAGGTTTAGCCTGCCACAGACTTAATCCGCCCCACAAATACAAAATTTTTATCCGCAGGTGAAACTTCTGGTGTATGCAGGAATTGTTAACATTCGCTGATTTCTAACTCTGTTACAGTAACATACATACCTAATTCGTTGCTGCTGGCTAGTAGATTCCTTCTATCCTGGAGGATATTTTCCAGTTCTGACAAATCAGTAGCTAGTAAAGCTAATCCTAAGCATTGTTCGAGTTGTGTTTTTCTTCTGTTAAAACTAATTTCGATAAACTGTCGTTTGAGATGCAATTCGTCCAACCAGCCTTGGACTTGAGATATAGCTAAAAATATATCTAAATCAATAATTATATTTTTATATACCTACATTAAAAATAATATTTTCGTTTTTACATAGGGTCTCCATAAAGGTTTTTGGAAATTCCGGACAACTGAAGTCAGAAATCCGGACAAAATCCGGACGTCGCAAAAAAGAAACTATAAATTATATGCAGGTATGAAGAAATATTTATATACACATCTGACTAAACTTTACTTAATTGAGGCTTAAAAATTATAGAATTAGTGAATCCTTGAGCGATTCGGAAAGTATTCTCTCTGACATTGAAGAAGAGGCATTCAGAACCATTATTCTTTTTGTAATTTTGAAGACTTAAATTTTTTTGAATTGTATTATTTGTATTGTGTATTTTTTGTTGTTTGTATTTTTTTGTGATTTTGTTGTTTGTGAGTGCTTTGTCGATGAAGCTGTTTTGGCTTTTTGCACAATAAAGCGTTGTTTGTTTGTTTGTTGTTGTTGTTGTCATTTTTGGATTGCTTCCAGCAAGATAGAAACGGAAGTATGAATATACATACCCTATGTATGAAAAATGGTGCACTGAAAAAAAAGTACGCAACTATGGAAATGAAAAGGTACTCATAACATATTTTTCCAATTTATCCGCTACTTATAAGCCTTCATCTCTGTGGGCTTTCTATTCAATGATACATATACATACTATGATATCAATTAAAATGAATATATATATACAGGGTGGCCCATCGAAAACGTTCCGCAAGGCATAACAGCCAGAGTAATTTTTATTTCAGAAAATTCAAAAACACGTCAATTTTGTTTGCGAGGGGGACAACTTTTGTCCCAAAAATGATTGCAAAATCTTCAACCCTCTGAGCGGGGGTGTCATCCCCAACTTTTTTCAAATGGGAAGGCGGGTCAAGTATATTTCCCCGCTTCATTTTTGAAAATCGGTCGAGTCATTGAGAAAATAAGGAAGATTGAAATTTGAAAAGTTTATTTAAACATTTATCAGACTAAATGATAAGGATAAATTCCTTCAACCAATTTGCTGTTTTTTCTTATTATTTGTAGATGTTTACGCATTTTTTTACTTGCCACAAGGTTGAACGATCAGGTGCGGTAGTTGCTAGATAGCTGTTCTGTGTCTTGTGCATTGAAGTTCTTCTCAATATCGTTAAACTTTTTAACAATTATGGTGTACTCACTTGCAGAAAAAGTGGATATAATCGAACTTTATTTTAAAAATAATGAATGTGGCAATCGGTTTGCGCAGATATTCAGTGAACGCCATCCTGACAAACACCTTTATGGCAAAATTGTTCGCGATTTAGTAGCAAAATTTTACGAAACTGGTTCCGTTATGAATAAAAAGAGGCAGAGGGAAAATCCTGTAGTAAATGAAGCTATGGAGGTATTCGTATTGGGCCAAGTTAGCCAATGAGACCGCGACCGGCGTGAATCGTACAAGTGTCCAAACGATATTAAAAAAACACAAGTTCCACCCGTACAAAATTCAGTTGGTACAAGAACTCAACGGAAACGATTTTGATCGTCGCGGGATGGTATTTTTGGAAATTCTATTGTAGGTCAGTTTAACGATATTGAGACCGCACCTGATCGTTCAACCTTGTGGCAAGTGAAAAAATAGAGTAAACATCTAGAAATAATAAGAAAAAAACCCAAATTGGTCGAAGGAATTTATCCTTATCATTTATTCTGATAAATGTTTAAATAAACTTTTCAAATTTCAATCCTTCATATTTCCTCAATGACTCGACCGATTTTCAAAAACGAGGCGGGGAAATATAGAGAATAGAAAGCTCTTTTCATTGCGGCGCCACTTGACCCCCCTTCCCATTTGAAAAAATTTGGGGGATGACACCCCCGCTTAGAGGGTTGAAGATTTTGCAATCATTTTTGGGGCAAAAGTTGTCCCCCTCACAAACAAAATTGACGTGTTTTTGGATTTTTTGAAAAAAAAATATCCTGGCCATTATGTCTTGCGGAACGTTTTCGATGGGCCACCCTGTATATGCTTCATCAGGCATTTGAAGATTGTTCAAACTGTATCATTAACATTTATAATAAATAAGTTTTCATGTTTTTATAATTATTATCAATAGAACAGTTTACCTATTTCTATTTAGTAGGTATTTAGTGCAAAATAAATGTTTTACAAAATATTTTTTCTCTTTGGTAGTCATGTAAACAAGGAGTGCGGTAATGAAAATGCGTGAGTTAAAAAGCTCTTAACTCTCTCAGAATGCATGAGTTAAGAGCTCACTGACGTAGATAAAAAATATTAAATACCTCGATTAACAGAAGTTCGTATTCGTTCGGGTCTAGAGTCGATGGTTCCTTCAGCACCAAGTTCTTTCAATTTGCCCAATAATGAGTTTCCTACTTGCAGTGCACCCATCAAAGTTTCCAACAGCGATCTAAAGCACGAAAATATACAAATTGACTATCGAAAGTTAAAAATACACACCACTATGTTTCTTTAACTCTTTTTAACTAAGGAACTATCCATGCATTCATGCATTAGAGACGGAAATGACATCATGACCCCCTATTTTTGACAGTTTTAGTTAATTGGCACATTTGAATGTGATTTGAACTTACGGATTTGTTGTGCTTTTCTGAGCTTAAAGGCGGGCGGCCACTGCGAGCGAAACTAAACTAAGGGAAGATAAGATTTGTAAAAATTAGCTTCCATACTTTTTAATGCGTCAGCGGCTACTTGACCGACACAAACGAAAATATATGAACGAAGATTCGAATCGTAGTTTAGTTTCGCTCGTTTTAGTTCGTGACAGGTTCCAGCGAATTTTTCGCAGCGATTAGTTCTATGATAGCAGAGATACAATTCGAAAACTTAGCTGACTACTGAGCGAAAATCGTTCCCAGTGGAGTTCCCATTTGATTACCGTTTGTTTTCATATTCTTAGCTTAGTTTAGTTACGCTCGCAGTGGCCGCTCGCCTTAATATTGTTTTTCTACAAACGTCAGTTAAAATGTAATTTTTAACGCATGCTTGTCAGTGCCTAAAATGTGACATTATGTCACTGATGGTAAAAGTCATTTACTTTTAGCACTGGTGCTAACGTGATTTACTTTTAACACATCTTTTAACACTGAAGCGATAATATTACCATAGCAACCATCAACTTACACTATGTGTGCTAAAAGTGATTTTATTTTGTTCGAAGGGATGGGACACGACGCCGAAGGCTTCCCTTCTCACAAAATGAAATACCACTTTTCTAGCATTGTTTTTTGTTTTAAGTTTGTTGATAAGCACTTTATTTATAAACAAGAAATATTGTTCTTAGTATGGTATTTTCTTTTCAAATAAATAGCTCAAACCTAGAGAAAAAAAGTATACCTATACATAGAGGCGTAATGAAATAGGTAAATCAAAATTTGTTTAAAGATGTTAAATTTCCAAAAAGATATGACTTGCCTTCTCAAATCATGTATTTTTGTTAGGAAATCTTTGATTTCTTCTATCTGTATTGGTACGGAACTATCTACACATGCGGCCTCTAGAGCATCGTTATTTTGGAAAAATTCGTCTGCTTTGGTGTGGTACTGAACGTTGAGATCTAATATAAGCTGAAAAATACAAATAATCAGTTTTATAATCAGTTAAAGAACCACTAAATTTAAGACTTCATTTGAATTTGGTTCATATATGGCTTTGTTTACTCTGTATCAACTATAAAAATGTCTGTTTTGTTAATAGTTTCATTTCATTTTTAATATTTTATAGAGTTTAAAAGCTATTCTGACAAATTATATTGTTTAAAATGTCTTAAATTTAAAAAAAAGGTTATAAAATCTTATATTTTTTATATGAGATATAGTATTTGTTCTTACCTTTCTGAGTTCAAGAGTTGAGTTGATATCTCTCCAAGCTCTACCTAGAGACTCCGCCATGGCTGCGTAGACTTCAGCTCTGGGTCTCTGAGTGGCTATCAGCTGATCAGCTTGTCTTAGTAACTCTTCCACCGGACTTTGTTTATTCTAAAAAAATAAAACATTCTTTTTACTATCTAAGTTTAATCTAAATTGCAAAAATATGTTTTGTAACTTAAACAAGTTCCTCGTATACAGACGGCACAAGAAAGTCAGAAGGTGTAGGAGCTGGAGTACAGGGGCACAAGGGTCACAAGGGTATCAAAAAAGCTGATGAAATCAGTCAATGCCATCAATGCTATTTCTACGTCCAGAACCCTTCTGCAGTCACAAGAATAGCCAAAAATCAGTGGGTAGCCAACAAATATCTAGAATGGTGGAGAAATTCACCGGAGCAGAGACAGTTAAAAAAGTTCAGTAGTAGAACATTCGCCAAAATTCACGACAGACCTGTTAAGCAAACACAGAAAGACGGGTAATGCTCTAGTGGGTAAACTAAAAAGATATTGTCAGCTTACTAGGCATCTAAAGAACAAGATAGAGGATTAAGACTCCAAGCTGCAAGACTTTGTGAAAAGGATACAACTGGAAGTAACCTAAGGATCAGAAGAGGACCACAATAGATTTAAAAAGGTAGCAGTAGAACAGGCTGATAGCCATCCCAATAACACTGCATATAGAGTAGCAGTTTTGGAGTAATAGGTTTAGTAGTATAAAACATAGGTACCTATGTCATATACTAGTAACTGTTATATGACATAACATGTACCTAAAAAATCAATCAAACTAAAAATTAATTAAAACATAATTTATTTTATGTAATATATGATGATCATTTAATCATTATGTTAAATATTCGCTTTCTTCTTTCTAGGATTTAACATTGCCTCAGTGTGTTAATCACTCACAATTTTATTATACCAGCATTTCAAATACAATCAAAGCCAAGTACACTTTGAACAAAGCAAAGAAAACATATATATTTAACCCACACAGTAACATGGTTTATACACCCACCATAGCCTTATTTTTAAATAGGTGAAAATATACATTTGCATATTACTTTCAATTTCTCCTAGCATTGCATTTTTAAAATATTTTCATTATTATGCTGTATGTTAGTTTATATAGAAAAATAAATCAAATTTATGTTTTTTATGGAATATAAGTTTAAAGTGCCTAAGTAGAGATATCGAATTTACACAGCTTGAAGGTTGAAAAAATCAAAATAAAAATAATAATTAGTCAATAAGAATATGAGAAAATCTGCTATAAAGAGCACTATAATCGTATTATGATTAAATTGAAATAATACACTAAGAATAATCACACTTAAAGATTTGCTGGCCATAATGATGAAAAGTAAGAAGACCTTGAATTTTACATATTAATTACTGCCATGAATCATTCCTTCAGGTTCATATAAAGGTTAATGGATTATTTTGGTAAAAAAACTACCTGAAAGGCATGGGAATGTAACAAAATGATCCTAATGGAGTCAGGCTTTTGATATTTTATATTAATACAAAACTAAAGTATATTTATCTTCGTGATTAATCACGAAGGAAAATATTAAATATCAGTATAGCTGAAAATAAGAAATTACATAAAATGTGGCTTTAATTTTTGTGTTCATAGTATTTAAACGGTATTTTTTTATTATACAAAGAAAATAAAGTTCTCCTACTCTAAGTGCCAATCCACCAAGAATAGAAGGTAATGAAAAAGCAAACGATTTATATAGAAAAGGAGCGAACACTCCACTAACTGAACCAGAACCGTTCTGCTTCCCAAACGGAAGCTCAAAGCAGAATTAAAGAACTTGGAAGACTCAATCCGTAACCTGAAATGGGAATGTCCAAAAGGTCTAAGACAAACTAAAAAATTCTCAGGACTTATGACCGAGAAAAATCAAGGATTTTGATTTAAGTAAGTATAATCTTCGGATTGTCACGGAGATTTTAATAGGACACTGTTCCATCAATAAACACCTCAGTAGATTGAAGTTAAGAAACAATGGCGATTACAGATTCTGTGGGGGAAAAAGGGGAAATACGCCATAAACTTTGCTTTGGTATGACTGATATCGGAGATGGAGAACTAATCTCCGTAAAATCGGCTCAGATACTGGGTTTTGTTAAAGCCCTGTATGATGAGTTATAACTCAAAAAAGGAGGACACAATCGATCTACAAAGGTAGCGGTGATTAACTTCACCCCCTCCCATACAATCTACAACGTATATTTAAACATTCCAGGAATATCTAGTATTGTTTGTACCCTTCTTTTAAACTAATGATTTCTTTAGTACTATATGTATCAGTCAGTATTGTTTTTAGTATTCGTTGTATTTTTGTTCTGTGTATGTATTTTTACAAAAATAGCAAAATGGCAACGCTTGATCGGAATTTCGTTTATTTAAAATGTAAACTCCGACCATCCACTTGAGGTATTTTTAAACCGATTTATTTCAGTTCAGATAAACTGAAAGCTCTATAATACCAACTCTTTTATCGCAAATGTGCAGTACGAAAATAGAAAAATATCTGTGGAGTAACGTAAGTTTAAATTCCAATGTAGCAAAAATTAAAAGCAGAAGTTTCTGATCTGTATGAATGTTACTACTTAAGCCCTAATTGAACAAATAACTTGTATTATACTACTGAGGGAATAAAATATACATTTTCGCCATTTTTTAAGTAAAAAGCTCTCATGATAGAAATCTCTACGAGCAACCGTCCTCAAGATATTTGGAATGGTAATAATCAATACATGTCATTATTGACAAAAGTTAACATATTGACTAGATAGATAATAGACTGAAATAATAAATTTTGAAATGCTTTTGTGCCAAAGATTCAACAGAGCTATTTTATCATAAATTTTCGAGATTTAAGTTTACTATTTCAAATTCATTTTAGTTAAATAAATTTCTAGTGAACATATTTAATTTTTGTCAATGATGACATGTACTGATTATTACGATTCCAAATAATTTTTAAATAAAAACTGGCGAAAATGTATATTTTCCTCAGTAGTGTAATACAAGTACAAACAAAAATTATTACTCTTCAAAAGAGTTAAAAATATGCAGGTGGTGCCCAATACAAATACGACAATTATTTCTCATTCAAGTTAGTTAGTACCTTTTATCTCCGAAACGAAGCATTTTAAAACATGAAATCATACTTTCTTACTAATTTTTGTCTGCAGAATATATTGTAGAAGTTTCCCGATTAAAATTCGGAGTACCTTTTATATTAATAAATAATGAACTTACTTGTAACTGTCGTAGAACTTCATTGTGTGCTCTTTGAAGTTCCAGTGCTTCTGCTAATGTGTTTCCTAAAATGGTGAGTTCTGGTGTGATTTCTAATATTTTCAAGTGAATCCAGTCTCCAACCTAAAATGAAAAAAAAGAGTATTAATTTTATATTTGGCTGAATTCACTGCTGCTGTCTTTATTTAAAATTAAAAAAAAATATTTTGCAATGTCAAAAAATTACAACAAGTTGTTATACAGGGTGAGTCTTAAATAAGTGCAAATATTTTCACGGTTGGTAGATCTCGATAAAAGAAACGTATTTTCTCTTTACCGTTTTTCAAATAAATCCAAAATAACCGTTGTTTTACTTTGACAATTTCTAAAAAAATATTTTAAAAATTGAGAAAATTTTGAGAACCACTGAATTTTCTTTCTTGTAAATTTAATATTCTACCTATGTTGCCATATTATCAACAAATTATGTTTTTTAATAAAAACTAAAAAAAATTTCAATTTTTTTTAAAAAAATTCCTAATTTTCAATTTTTTTTTGTTTCTGTGGTCGGAATATACTACCCCTAAAAAGATTTGCACTTATTTAAGACTCACCCTGTATATTTTAAGCTATTTAAATTTTCAAGAAATATTTTACAGCTATTACTTGAGGTACCTATAAAATGTGCTATTTCTTATACCGGGTGTTAAATCAGAAGTGGCTCACCCATATAACTTTTTTTAATTTTTCATATAAGAAAAACGAGATTTGCTTTTTAACGTATTAAATTAGTTTGGGTCACTTCCTCTTTCGCCCTCTTGCAAGTTCATCTTTATGATACTTATGTGAAAAGATATCAAAAGAGAGACTGCATTTATCGCTATGGGATATATTCTACTATATTGGCATATTGTAATTGATGTATTAATTACATTCTCATTGAATTCAAAAACAAAAAAGTTACAAAAACACCTTGTAAAAGATCTATTATGTAGTGAGTGAACAGACATCTCTATATGTCAAATATCTTGAATGATTATTAACATTCTTCGTGAGAAAATAATTTCAGACCTGTATCTCCGAAGCGTCTGAGAACAACAACGCGCAAATGATCTCTTGGAGAATGCTGGGCCACCAATTTAATTTGACCTTCACACTTTCATGCTTCGAATAACATTGAACTGAATTACAAGATATGCCATCATCAAGTACATCTAATTAAAGATCTAATTTACAAAGAAATACAAAGTACTTACTAATGACTACAGATCATTCGTCATCTAATATATTTTTTCTGAGATCTTTTTCTTCAAATATTTACTTTTAAGTTCTTCTTTGATATTTGTCCACACAGAATATTTTATTTATATTAATGACCTAGCTCTGATTAAATATACCGGCTATTTTGTGAGAAAAGTGGCTCACCTATACAACTTTCTTCACTTCACGTGTACAACGTTCTCAACTTCGGTCACTTCCTTTTTCACCAGAAATGACTACAACTTTTGATTTTTAAATACTACCTTAGAAATATTTTTACTTTATTTGCTAGAAAATGGCAAACTCCAGTTGATTTTCCTATAAGTTGATTCTCAATATTATTACCAACCCATAAGCCGTTTAATCTTATTTCAAGTTCAATTTGTCATTTCAAAATATTGTATGCTAATTTTATGTAAAACAACCTATTTACATTTAGCATAAATAACTGCGGCAAAATACGCTTATAACTTTCCTTATAACTATCAACTGTGTATCTTTCAAAACTTCGTAATATTTACATTATGAATTTCTTACATGAGAAAATGCGGCCTTGTCTATCAACAACAAAAATAAAATTTCTCTTGGTTAAAAATAACCCAGAAAATTCATATAAATTTACGCACAACGCTGACGACCTAAATTTAAAATTTGTTTAAAATTTATATCCTAAATTTTATTTAATCTAACCGTGAATAAATAAATTATGAAATAAATCATTTTGGAATGAAATTTTTACTGAAAAATTGATAAGAAAGTAAAAATGTAAATTATGTCTTGTAAAAAAACATAAAACTTGTCAAAAATTAACACTAATTATAGAAAGATTAAAAAAGGATAGAACCGTTTCCAGACACACAAATAAAAAAAAATTAAACTATGTATACCATTTAAAAATAATTTTACTCGATATAAACACAAATTACAATCTTAAGGTCAAGTAAGGCAGTAAGCGCCATTAAGAAATAAAGAAGAGTACCTACGAGCCAAGTAAATGATGTCTAGGGCATCTAGGGCTTGACCCCGCCAAAATTATCATCGATTTTCATTCCCAAGCTGTCAAAGCCGCTTTATTTCTATCGTATAGTATTTTATGTCTCAATATTTTGCTTCGTGTATTCCAAAAATAGGATTAGATTTTGGTTGATAACAGTCCAATTTTTTAAGCAACAAACAATTGTGTTTAATAAACGCTATTGATACCTAAACAAAGACATTATAAAGATAGACCGAACATCTCATTCATAAATACTCGTTGGTAGTGTATCAAACATTCCAATGTGTCAAACAAGGACAGAAGAGACAGAGAAGTCTAAAATTTCCGACCCCGGCAACTAGGCGCATTTGGATTGTTCTAATGGCCAGTGGTGTATCGTTTTTTGGAACGAATTTAATTAGTAAAGTAAAAGTAAAGTAATTAGTAAAATTTTTACTCCATATTAATATACTACATTAACACTTTTTCGTTAGATGAGTTTTGTTATAAGGTCTAATATAATAATATAATTAATATCCCATTATGTTGAAACGTTAGTAGGTAGTTTTCGAAAATCGCTCCAACGTCGATATTCAATTTAAACTTTCAGTTACTTCTATACAAACACTCAGTTACTTTTGAATACTTACAGAGTGACTCAGGCTTCCGAAACAGTTCTATATTAGGTTTGTGGTTAGTAACTTTTATTTCAATTTTTTTTTAGAATATGGAGGCAATGGTAAAGCACGTTTTAGACATTTTTGTAATCATAGGTGGCCGGAACATATTTTCAAACTAAAGTTGTAGATATGTCATTAAATTTCCATTCCAGAAATACATAGGGTTGCCACCTGTCCATTTTTGAAAAGGGCAGTCTTTTGGAATAACTTGTCCTTTTGACTTTTTTGACTTAAAAAGTCATTTTTATTTACGTATTTTCCTGAGAGAATAAGAGAACTTAGAACTTCCTGTTTAATCTCTGAGAAAATTACCTACAGCAAACAGAAATATTCTTTTGAATGAATATTACGTTTATTTACAAATCCATTACTTAGGTAGCTTAATCAGACAATCAAATTTTAGTTATACGTCCCAATCTTCATGAACTGTATTAAGCATATGAATTGCGGTTTGAATCACCCTGTATGTTGACAAAAATATTTTGAAAATGTGCGTTACAATGGCCCCACCAAACCAAATGCAACGTTTATATTCAAATTTGTTATGATCTACAACAGTTAATAGTAATTGAGACAAATTATAATTCAATTACCGGCTACTACGTTCTTGTTTTAATAGATCAAAATTCAACAAATATAATTAAAAATTATATTAATTTTGCGAGGCTCCCTTGTGGGACGCCTATGTACTATTACGGCGGAAACAATACCTACCTGTGAAAAGACAAATTCGGGTAATTTGAGCTTATTTTTTCACAAATTTGACACTGTCCTACCATATTGAACATTCGCAGATTCAAAAGTACGTTAAACAAAAACTACTGAAAACCACTGAAAAGTTCACTTCGGCCTTGATTCCGACTTCAAACACACCGTAAGCTAAACGTAGTACGCTATAACGGACCAAGAGCCGTCGCGAGGGGTGGTGGGACGGACGGCTCATTTCATTCTGGAAGACTAGCAGCGACGTCGCCAATAGTTCTAGACGTTTCAGCACATTAAACAGTAATCATGTCCTTTAATAGTAATGCATATATCCTCTGGTTAATAACATATTATTACGCATGCTTCTTTAAAAATAAACTATTAATTTAATTAAGAAATTGAGATTTATTGATATCCGGTGAAGGTTTTAAAGTCACCTTTTCTGCAAATCAAACTTAAGTAGATAGGCGCAAATTTGAGATGTGGCAATGTCGTCTTCTCTATTTCAGTTGGTTTTTACAGTACGTAGTCAACCTCCTATTGTTTGATCGGGTTAAAATGCACAATGTGATATTTGTTCTTACTAAATCTATGTACCTAAATAACATAAAAACAACCTTGACAATCGAATACGTTTATGCCCGTTACAGTGTCTGACCTCTATACAGGGCGTATCAAATTAAACCCAGATTCAGTTCGAGTCGACTGATTTTAATTTAGTCCAGACAATACTTCATTAACAAATGATAATATGATTTAAAAATCGTAAAAATGTATATGTTACTGTAAATGTCCGAAATGCGGTAAAACCTAGGATTTACCAAAAGCAAGTGGTAGTAAAAACCAACCAACCCCACCAAATAACCATCTAACCAATGCATTAACACCCCCCAAATAACCAGGCTAACCTAATTAGTTAATGCTTTTGGTAAATCCTAGGTTTAGCACGCTTATCCTAGGTTTTACCGCATTTCGGACATTTACAGTAACATATATATTGAATAATTTACGAACAGTTATTTTTATATTTAATGCAAAATGCATTTGAATATCCTGCTAACAGAACTATTCAGCCCCCATGCGGTTTGTTAATAAGATATTGTAGAGCAGATAAATCTTACGTTGCTCAAAATATTTTTGATAAAGATTAATTGTATCAAACAAGTCTCAAACTAGAGGCAATTATATGTATATGACAGCGTCAAAATAAATAAATGTAAAGATAATATGGACAGAGATAATGATCCAGCTTCTTCCAGTTCCCTGGTCCTATTGCTCTAGTCTCAGTAATTAAATGTTACGCTCGATTGGTTTTGGCCAGCTTGGCTAATTTTGTCACGCTTCGTCTTTACCAACCGAGCGCCTATTTAAAGGCTCGATTTGTAAACAGTAGTTTAGTTTTAATCATCTGTTGATCATGCTAATAAGGTCATAGTAAAACGCAGGTCAAGCGTTTCAAGTAATATACCGGGTGCTTCCCAAAAGTGGCTCACCCCCTCTAACTTTTTCATTTTTCAAGATAAAAAAACGAGATTTGGTATGTTAGTATATGACATAAATTAGGAATAATTGACGAATTCAATTATTGTTTTTGGCCACTTCCTGTTTCACCGGAAATGACTACAACTTTTGATTTTTAAATTGCACCCTCGGTACTATATTCGATAGAAAATGATACTCTGAGTAGAATGACATATCATAGATCAACTTTTGATTTGTTTTTTTTTTTTGATCATATATCAGCTTTTCATTTTTGCTTTAAAAGAAATTGTATTATAAATTTCAATCTAAAGTGCCATGGCTGTATTAAAAACACTAATTTTTAATCAGAAACCTTGGAAAAATAGATTTGATCGTCTAATGCTTTTCGGTTTTTCGTGTCTGATCCTGGTCGGTTAAAAGATGCCCAAATCGTATTTTTAATCATATCTCAATTTTTTTAAATGGAACAAGGGTGGCTTATTAGTATATTTGGAAAAAGCATTTTTTTACGTATCATTTGGTACCACACACTTGGTATTTCGAGTCAAATTGTCGTTATGAACCGCATTTTACAATTTCAAATAAAGACTTCAGCTCTGGGTCTCTGAGTGGCTATCAGCTGATCAGCTTGTCTTAGTAACTCTTCCACCGGACTTTGTTTATTCTAAAAAAATAAAACATTCTTTTTACTATCTAAGTTTAATCTAAATTGCAAAAATATGTTTTGTAACTTAAACAAGTTCCGCGTATACAGACGGCACAAGAAAGTCAGAAGGTGTAGGAGCTGGAGTACAGGGTCACAAGGGTCACAAGGGTATCAAAAAAACTGATGAAATCAGTCAATGCCATCAATGCTATTTCTACGTCCAGAACCCTTCTGCAGTCACAAGAATAGCCAAAAATCAGTTGGTAGCCAACAAATATCTAGAATGGTGGAGAAATTCACCGGAGCAGAGACAGTTAAAAAAGTTCAGTAGTAGAACATTCCCCAAAATTCACGACAGACCTGTTAAGAAAACACAGAAAGACGGGTAATGCTCTAGTGGGTCAACTAAAAAGATATTGTCAGCTTACTAGGCATCTAAAGAACAAGACAGAGGATTAAGACTCCAAGCTGCAAGACTTTGTGAAAAGGATAGAACTGGAGAATGTAACCTAAGGATCAGAAGAGGACCACAATAGATTTAAAAAGGTAGCAGTAGAACAGGCTGATAGCCATCCCAAAAACACTGCATATAGAGTAGCAGTTTTGGAGTAATAGGTTTAGTACTATAAAACATAGGTACCTATGTCATATACTAGTAACTGTTATATGACATAATATGTACCTAAAAAATCAATCAAACTAAAAATTAATTAAAACATAATTTATTTTATGTAATATATGATGATCATTAAATTTAATCATTATGTTAAATATTCGCTTTCTTCTTTCTAACATTTAACATTGCCTCAGTGTGCTAATCACTCACAATTTTATTATACCAGCATTTCAAATACAATCAAAGCCAAGTACACTTTGAACAAAGCAAAGAAAACATATATATTTAACCCACACAGTAACATGGTTTATACACCCACCATAGCCATATTTTTAAATAGGTGAAAATATACATTTGCATATTACTTTCAATTTCTCCTAGCATTGCATTTTTAAAATATTTTCATTATTATGCTGTATGTTAGTTTATACAGAAAAATAAATCAAATTTATGTTTTTTATGGAATATAAGTTTAAAGTGCCTAAGTAGAGATATCGAATTTACACAGCTTGAAGGTTGGAAAAAAAATCAAATAAAAATAATAATTAGTCAATAAGAATATGAGAAAATCTGCTATAAAGAGCACTATAACCGTATTATGATTAAATTGAAATAATACACTAAGAATAATCACACTTAAAGATTTGCTGGCCATAATGATGAAAAGTAAGAAGACCTTGAATTTTACATATTAATTACTGCCATGAATCATTCCTTCAGGCTCATATAAAGGTTAATGGATTATTTTGGTAAAAAAACTACCTGAAAGGCATGAGAATGTAACAAAATGATCCTAATGGAGTCAGGCTTTTGATATTTTATATTAATACAAAATTAAAGTATATGTATCTTCGTGATTAATCACGAAGGAAAATATTAAATATCAGTATAGCTGAAAACAAGAAATTACATAAAATGTGGCTTTAATTTTTGTGTTCATAGTATTTAAACGGTATTTTTTTATTATACAAAGAAAATAAAGTTCTCCTACTCTAAGTGCCAATCCACCAAGAGATAGAAGGTAATAAAAAAGCAAACGATTTATATAGAAAAGGAGCGAACACTCCACTAACTGAACCAGAACCGTTCTGCTTCCCAAACGGAAGCTCAAAGCAGAATTAAAGAACTTGGAAGACTCAATCCGTAACCTGAAATGGGAATGTCCAAAAGGTCTAAGACAAACTAAAAAATTCTCAGGACTTATGACCGAGAAAAATCAAGGATTTTTCTTGATTTAAGTAAGTATAATCTTCGGATTGTCACGGAGATTTTAATAGGACACTGTTCCATCAATAAACACCTCAGTAGATTGAAGTTAAGAAACAATGGCGATTACAGATTCTGTGGGGGAAAAAGGGGAAATACACCATAAACTTTGCTTTGGTATGACTGATATCGGAGATGGAGAACTAATCTCCGTAAAATCGGCTCAGATACTGGGTTTTGTTAAAGCCCTGTATGATAAGTTATAACTCAAGAAAGGAGGACACAATCGATCTACAAAGGTAGCGGTGATTAACTTCGCCCCCTCCCATACAATCTACAACATATATTTAAACATTCCAGGAATATCTAGTATTGTTTGTACCCTTCTTTTAAACTAATGATTTCTTTAGTACTATATGTATCAGTCAGTATTGTTTTTAGTATTCGTTGTATTTTTGTTCTGTGTATGTATTTTTACAAAAATAGCAAAATGGCAACGCTTGATCAGAATTTCGTTTATTTAAAATGTAAACTCCGACCATCCACTTGAGGTATTTTTAAACCGATTTATTTCAGTTCAGATAAACTGAAAGAAGCTCTATAATACCAACTCTTTTATCGCAAATGTGCAGTACGAAAATAGAAAAATATCTGTGGAGTAACGTAAGTTTAAATTCCAATGTAGCAAAAATTAAAAGCAAAAGTTTCTGATCTGTATGAATGTTACTAAGCCCTAATTGAACAAATAACTTGTATTATACTACTGAGGGAATAAAATATACATTTTCGCCATTTTTTAAGTAAAAAGCTCTCATGATAGAAATCTCTACGAGCAACCGTCCTCAAGATATTTGGAATGGTAATAATCAATACATGTCATTATTGACAAAAGTTAACATATTGACTAGATAGATAATAGACTCAAATAATACATTTTGAAATGCTTTTGTGCCAAAGATTCAACAGAGCTATTTTATCATAAATTTTCGAGATTTAAGTTTACTATTTCAAATTCATTTTAGTTAAATAACTTTCTAGTGAACATATTTAATTTTTGTCAATGATGACATGTACTGATTATTACGATTCCAAATAATTTTTAAATAAAAACTGGCGAAAATGTATATTTTTCTCAGTAGTGTAATACAAGTACAAACAAAAATTATTACTCTTCAAAAGAGTTAAAAATATGCAGGTGGTGCCCAATACAAATACGACAATTATTTCTCATTCAAGTTAGTTAGTACCTTTTATCTCCGAAACGAAGCATTTTAAAACATGAAATCATACTTCCTTACTAATTTTTGTCTGCAGAATATATTGTAGAAGTTTCCCGATTAAAATTCGGAGTACCTTTTATATTAATAAATAATGAACTTACTTGTAACTGTCGTAGAACTTCATTGTGTGCTCTTTGAAGTTCCAGTGCTTCTGCTAATGTGTTTCCTAAAATGGTGAGTTCTGGTGTGATTTCTAATATTTTCAAGTGAATCCAGTCTCCAACCTAAAATGAAAAAAAAACAGTATTAATTTTATATTTGGCTGAATTCACTGCTGCTGTCTTTATTTAAAATTAAAAAAAAATATTTTGCAATGTCAAAAAATTACAACAAATTGTTATACAGGGTGAGTCTTAAATAAGTGCAAATATTTTCACGGTTGGTAGATCTCGATAAAAGAAACGTATTTTCTCTTTACCGTTTTTCAAATAAATCCAAAATAACCGTTGTTTTACTTTGAAAATTTCACACCTCTACTTTTCAACCAATAACATGCTTTAATGTTGACTAGTTACCATGGCAACTGAAAAAATTTCCGGAAATTTTTTCGAGGCGCCACGAAACTTTAGTGGAAATTTTTTGACAGTTGAAAAGGTAAACATAAGATCTACAATCATAATGTGAATGAACTACAATGTCTATATATTGAAATATTACCCATTTGAGTTTTAGCATTTGATGTAACTAAGGTTGGTAATATTTTTTATTTAAGGAAATATGTTAGATATACCTACATATGAATTTCTTCGAAATTGCCATGTTCTAAAAAATATAGTTCTGCCGCCTTTATTTAACTAAAGCTGGTATTTTTCTATTTATATTTTTCGTAATAAATTTCTTGCAACTGCTTAGCAGTAGAGTTCCACATCACTTTGACCACACTTTCCTCAAAATTTTTCTTTTTCATATTAAATGCGTAGTCCTCCAGTATAGTAGCCAGCTGTACTATATACACTCATACACTCATGAATATTATACGACTTTTCATCACAAAATTCAACAAACTGTTTCCATACACTTGATTTTGATTTTCGGGTGTTATCTGGTTTTATATTTTCAATTTCTTCTTTAATGACTTGTTGGTTTACTTTTCCAAATCGCGACATTTCGCTATACACTTCTTACTCTACGTACAGACGTTAGATTGGAAAGTAGTAATAGCTTAATGACAGAATCGCAAACTATTCTTGCAACGGTCGCGATGTCAAAAACATCAAAAATTTCGGAGCGGTTCTTAAAAATTGAAATTATTTCTGCTTTTTGTTTGCTGTTGTTCTTAGCGACCGCTATAGCAGCGCCAGATCGCGTATAACGGTCGCGACCCAAAATAATTTCGCGATCCAAAATTTTTACGGGCTTTCCAATCTAAACTTGTTGCATTTATCTATGTTTAAAACTAGTAATAGCTTAATGACAGAATCGCAAACAAAAATGACAAAACACATAATATGTCAAAAACATCAATACCTTGGCCAACTTAAAAAATTGAAATTATTTTAAAATGTCATGTTGGATTAATTTTTTTTTTCAAATTTAGGTGTGAAATTTTCTTACCGAATACCACGCAAGCTTAAATTATTCCTGGAAATTTTCTTTCGGGCACGAATATTTTAGGAAAATTATCCCTCGTCTTCGACTCGGGATAATTTTCAAAATATTCGTGCCCTCAAAAAAATTTCCGAAAATAATTTAAGCTCTTGTGATATTATAAGTGACAATTTCTAAAAAAATATTTTAAAAATTGAGAAAATTTTGAGAACCACTGAATTTTCTTTCTTGTAAATTTAATCTACTACCTATGTTGCCATTTTATCAACAAATTATGTTTTTTAATAAAAACTAAAAAAAATCCAATTTTTTTTAAAAAAATTCCTAATTTTCAATTTTTTTTTGTTTCTGTGGTCGGAATATACTATCCCTAAAAAGATTTGCACTTATTTAAGACTCACCCTGTATATTTTAAGCTATTTAAATTTTCAAGAAATATTTTACAGCTATTACTTGAGGTACCTATAAAATGTGCTATTTCTTATACCGGGTGTTAAATCAAAAGTGGCTCACCCATATAACTTTTTTTAATTTTTCATATAAGAAAAACGAGATTTGCTTTTTAACGTATTAAATTAGTTTGGGTCACTTCCTCTTTCGCCCTCTTGCAAGTTCATCTTTATGATACTTATGTGAAAAGATATCAAAAGAGAGACTGCATTTATCGCTATGGGATATATTCTACTATATTGGCATATTGTAATTGATGTACTAATTACATTCTCATTGAATTCAAAAACAAAAAAGTTACAAAAACACCTTGTAAAAGACCTATTATGTAGTGAGTGATCAGACATCTCTATATGTCAAATATCTTGAATGATTATTAACATTCTTCGTGAGAAAATAATTTCAGACCTGTATCTCCGAAGCGTCTGAGAACAACAACGCGCAAATGATCTCTTGGAGAATGCTGGGCCACCAATTTAATTTGACCTTCACACTTTCATGCTTCGAATAACATTGAACTGAATTACAAGATATGCCATCATCATGTACATCTAATTAAAGATCTAATTTGCAAAGAAATACAAAGTACTTACTAATGACTACAGATCATTCGTCATCTAATATATTTTTTCTGAGATCTTTTTCTTCAAATATTTACTTTTAAATTCTTCTTTGATATTTGTCCACACATAATATTTTATTTATATTAATGACCTAGCTCTGATTAAATATACCGGGTGTTTTGTGAGAAAAGTGGGTCACCTATACAACTTTCTTATTTACTTAGACAAAAAAACGAGATTTGGCATGTTAGTCTATGACATAAATCAGGATTGATTGACGGTATTCAAATGATTTTCGGTCACTTCCTTTTTCACCAGAAATGACTACAACTTTTGATTTTTAAATACTACCTTAGAAATATTTTTACTTTATTTGCTAGAAAATGGCAAACTCCAGTTGATTTTCCTATAAGTTGATTCTCAATATTATTACCAACCCATAAGCCGTTTAATCTTATTTCAAGTTCAATTTGTCATTTCAAAATATTGTATGCTAATTTTATGTAAAACCACCTATTTACATTTAGCATAAATAACTGCGGCGAAATACGCTTATAACTTTCCTTATAACTATCAACTGTGTATCTTTCAAAACTTCGTAATATTTACATTATGAATTTCTTACATGAGAAAATGCGGCCTTGTCTATCAACAACAAAAATAAAATTTCTCTTGGTTAAAAATAACCCAGAAAATTCGTATAAATTTACGCACAACGCTGACGACCTAAATTTAAAATTTGTTTAAAATTTATATCCTAAATTTTATTTAATCTAACCGTGAATAAATAAATTATGAAATAAATCATTTTGGAATGAAATTTTTACTGAAAAATTGATAAGAAAGTAAAAATGTAAATTATGTCTTGTAAAAAAACATAAAACTTGTCAAAAATTAACACTAATTATAGAAAGATTAAAAAAGGATAGAACCGTTTCCAGACACACAAACAAAAAAAATTAAACTATGTATATCATTTAAAAATAATTTTACTCGATATAAACACAAATTACAATCTTAAGGTCAAGTAAGGCAGTAAGCGCCATTAAGAAATAAAGAAGAGTACCTACGAGCCAAGTAAATGATGTCTAGAGCATCTAGGGCTTGACCCCGCCAAAATTATCATCGATTTTCATTCCCAAGCTGTCGAAGCCGCTTTATTTCTATCGTATAGTATTTTATGTCTCAATATTTTGCTTCGTGTATTCCAAAAATAGGATTAGATTTTGGTTGATAACAGTCCAATTTTTTAAGCAACAAACAATTGTGTTTAATAAACGCTATTGATACCTAAATAACATAAAAACAACCTTGACAATCGAATACGTTTATGCCCGTTACAGTGTCTGACCTCTATACAGGGCGTATCAAATTAAACCCAGATTCAGTTCGAGTCGACTGATTTTAATTTAGTCCAGACAATACTTCATTAACAAAAGATAATATGAGTTAAAAATCGTAAAAATGTATATGTTACTGTAAATGTCCGAAATGCGGTAAAACCTAGGATTTACCAAAAGCAAGTGGTAGTAAAAACCAACCAACCCCACCAAATAACCACCTAACCAATGCATTAACACCCCCCAAATAACCAGGCTAACCTAATTAGTTAATGCTTTTGGTAAATCTTAGGTTTAGCACGCTTATCCTAGGTTTTACCGCATTTCGGACATTTACAGTAACATATATATTGAATAATTTACGAACAGTTATTTTTATATTTAATGCAAAATGCATTTGAATATCCTGCTAGCAGAATAACTATTCAGCCCCCTTGCGGTTTGTTAATAAGATATGGTAGAGCAGATAAATCTTACGTTGTTCAAAATATTTTTGATAAAGATTAATTGTATCAAACAAGTCTCAAACTACAGGCAATTAGATGTATATGACAGCGTCAAAATAAATAAATGTAAAGATAATATGGACAGAGATAATGATCCAGCTTCTTCCAGTTCCCTGTTCCTATTGCTCTAGTCTCAGTAATTAAATGTTACGCTCGATTGGTTTTGGCCAGCTTGGCTAATTTTGTCACGCTTCGTCTTTACCAACCGAGCGCCTATTTAAAGGCTCAATTTGTAAACAGTAGTTTAGTTTTAATCATCTGTTGATCATGCTAATAAGGTCATAGTAAAACGCAGGTCAAGCGTTTAAAGTAATATACCGGATGCTTCCCAAAAGTGGCTCACCCCTATAACTTTTTCATTTTTCAAGATAAAAAACGAGATTTGGTATGTTAGTATATGACATAAATTAGGAATAATTGACGAATTCAATTATTGTTTTTGGCCACTTCCTGTTTCACCGGAAATGACTACAACTTTTGATTTTTAAATGGCACCCTCGGTACTATATTCGATAGAAAATGATACTCTGAGTAGAATGACATATCATAGATCAACTTTTGATTTGTTTTTTTTTTTTTTTTTTGATCATATATCAGCTTTTCATTTTTGCTTTAAAAGAAATTGTATTATAAGTTTCAATCTAAAGTACCATGGCTGTATTAAAAACACTAATTTTTAATCAGAAACGTTGGAAAAATAGACTTGATGGTCTAATGCTTTTCGGTTTTTCGTGTCTGATCCTGGTCGGTTAAAAGATGCCCAAATCGTATTTTTAATCATATCTCAATTTTTTTAAATGGAACAAGGGTGGCTTAT